GCGCAACAGCCTTCTATCTATTGCCCTCATCTATACTTCCCACTACATCGAACCCCTCCTACCCCAGTTATACTCCCTCCCACCCTCTTTTGAAGGGCAGAAGATACAAAAGTTTGAATACACATACGAACAGGTTCAAGAACAGCATCTTCCCTGCTGTTATCATCCTTTTGAACAGACCTCTCAACTGTTAATTTTGCCCTCTCCCTCTGCATCCTCTCTGGGCTGTAACACTAGTCTGCATTCTGTTCCACTTTCCTGATGCACTTTATATGGTACAATCTGCCTGTATAGCACACAAAACAACACTTTTCACTGTATCAGAGTACATATAACAACAATAGATCAAACAAACAGACTTAAATTTCACATGGCCCAGGATTAAATGGATCAATGTTAGTAATTAACTCAGCAATAATACTGGCTAAGAAATCACTGCTTGTAATTAGCGTATCAGTTTTAGCAGCTAAGCAATGTTGGCTTTTAATATATTAATATTAATTATTGATCGATCAAAGGTGAATCATTTGTCATGATTAATGGATAACTGTTAACAATTAATGTTAATGATTAATGGATCAATGTTACTGGCTAGTGGATTAATGTTAACTATTGATGGACTAAAAATGGATCAGTGTTAATGGTCCATGTAGATATAATAACATTTGAGATGCACTGTTGCTGGTCAATGTAGAATTGATAACATTTAGCCAATAGATGAAATTTCCATATCCAGCATCACATAGTCAGCAAATGGGGCTGAACAGAAAAGTCTTGAAGTATGGCCCAAGTTATCTGTCCATTAACATTAATGAACAGAATGTCTGTGCTAGCACACAAAAAGAATTGTTGATGAGAGAGTTATGCTGCACAAGATTTTCCAAGAGCCCACTATCGTAAAAGTACCATCCCGCATGGCAAAGGTTGATGCTTACTGTGGTGGACTCAAACTGGATCTCTGGTTTCAGGGATACAACAATGTTGCTCTTAGGTTACCATTAGGAACTTCAAAGAAGTTCGATACAACTTTATCTATTCCAGAGTCATTGTTTCAGATTATTATTTCATGTCCAGAGACAGATTTAAGTCACGAGAAACATGACGGTGCATTATGTTCTCATTCAGACAAAAATGAAGAAGTGTTTAGAACTTCTACAAGTGGTTTTCTGATCTCCTAAGCAAAGTAGCCAGAAACCGTGGAGAATCAAATGTCAACAGCAAATGTTTCAAAGTTACAGTGAGAGAGTGGAAGAAATTCTACGCCATTGCCCAGTGGGAGGATGGAAAGAGATTCTTATTTAATGCTTCCTCAGGGTAATATGACACCACTCCTTGAAATTAATCCTTACAGCCTTTTCTTTCACATAATCACCAGTGTTCCTTTAAAAGAAAACCCATTGTGCAGTTCATCAATTTTATTGCTTCTGAATATTGTCCTATCGTGAATTTGTTACAGAACCAGTAATTCAGAAAATGCTGTTTGAGAAATTGACCACTTAAAACAAAATCTAGAATTAAATGTACAGTATTAGTGAAGGTGATCAAAAAGCTGTTGGATTGAAATTAGAATAAATTCCTTCAATAATATCCTTCAGGGAAGGAAACCTAGAATTCTTACCCAATCTGATCTATATCAAAGATCTAAAGCTGACATTAACATGGTTAACTCTAGCTTTCAGCTAAACGAGCTAAATTATTTGTATCAAAACTAGCACCTTCAATAAGGTGGTCCATGTCATGTTCTCAGGGGAACTGATGATTGGCAAGAAATGACAGCTCAACTATTCTCAGGTTGCAGTTAGCCACAAGCTTGGGGAAGTGCTTACACTACTCTGGGATCCACCAGACAGAAGCAGTGATCCCTTTAGTGATTGCAGTTGGACATCTCAATGTCTACTGCAAATGAAACAAGCATGCATTATACCTGCTAAGCCCATTCCTCCATGTAAATGTCAAAATCTAAGACTTGGGCTGGATTTTTGTCTCTCATCGGAGGTGTGAATTGGGTCACAAAACACATAAAACTTAGGTTTTTTTTCATTAAAAGGACAATTTAGCTCTGCTTTGCAGCTGCACAAGGAACTGTGTAGCAAACTCTTCCCAGGCTAATGCCCCCAGTCTAAAAATCCAGAAGAAAACTGCATTTCCTCCCTCATTTTTTCAGCTAGGAGTTTAGGAAGATCTTAAATGGACCTCAGTGGAAACTTTTGTCACCAATGAGGAAGGCAACTGAGGAATGTAGAACAGTTTAAAAGATATGTTTAAATCATTTTGACACTTTCAATGTCACTAATAGATACTGTATTGTTATGTGCGTGTTTTCAATGCAGTAATTTGTCAAGAGCTGTCCTGGAAAGGTTAGTTGACCCTCACATTGATGATCATTGTGCATCTGTTGTCATATATTTCAGTACTTTCTCTATTGACAAAAGTACAATAGTACATCAAAAACATCTCTAACAAAACATCTTGTCAGTCTTTGCTGTTATATTTTGTGCTTTGACTGTGATGGCATCGACTAAGGGAACATGGGGTAGCTTAGAAGGGGGAGGGTGGTGAAGTGGCATGAATTATCTGAGGGACATGAGTACAGGATGAAACAGTGTGAAGGTCGAGGTTGAGGAGCCTTTAGATAATGATGGTAACTGGAGTACTGTGGTAGAAAATGGAGTTGGACCTTCTAACATGCCAATCTTCACATCCGCGCTCATCACCACAAACCCAACTCCCATGTGAAAATATAAAATTTCCCAGGCAAACACATAGGTCAGGTGTGCATTTCGGGAGAGACCAAGTATACAGGTTCAGTTTTCCCCAAGCTTGCAAACAAAATACCAGCCCCTTAAATTACTACATAGCACTCTTGCCTCTGTGTCCAACAATTGTGAATTCAAGCCACACTTCAGTGAGTTAAGTACAAACTCTAGACTCGCACTCAAGTGTAATACACAGAGGGGAAACTCACTGCCCAGATGAGGCATTATTTTGAGGGCCTATTTACTCTGTCAGAGAGATGCAAAAGATTGCATGGCACTATGTTAAAGAAGAATCAAGGGATTTTCTTCAGTGTGCAGGCCAATATTATGGAAACAGACTCTCTTGATAGTATCTCATTCACACGTACAAACCCAAAAAAGTGTGTGAGATCATATCAGGTTCCTGATCCAATGTACCTTTCAGGGTTTTGCCACCCGACGCAAATCCCAGAACACCCCAACGCTACGCACATCCAAATCCAGCACTTTCTTGCCAGCTAAAATTCTGCCACAGGGGTCACGACTTTACAACAACAACAATTCAAAACCAAAATTCCATCAGCCGCCAGGCCCTTAGGGACATGCTCAGGTGAAAAACACAAAATGAAGTTCAACATTTTTGTTTCTTTCTCATTAAGATGAGTTTAAGTCATTGAAGTTTAGTGCAAACAGAATATGTGATTCCCCTAAACCAAATAATATCAAACTGAAGCGGCTTATATGTCTTATTTTGATGGTTATAGTAGGATGGTAGGATACCACTGTAGCTGTGTGCCAGTTTTACCACATGACCATATGTTTCAACTCAATTTGCTCAAAACTGTTACCTTGAAGCACTTTGCATAAAAGAATTCTGCATTTTGCAGCAATTCAGAATACTAGACTTTCTCTTTGGTGACTTAACAAAGATCCATTCTAACATTGCAATCATTTCATTTTTTGAGCAAGCTCCATTTTTGCCACTTAATGTTGCCAAATGTTTGTTGGATCTTCGAACTGTAGAAATCAAGTAGGTGATCAGAAGTACAATGCTGATGTGGTTGCCTAGTAGAATGTTTGCTTAGCAGAATTTGGATAAAATTACTGCTGTAAATCAATACTGAATTAAATAATTATGAAATTTATCATATGTAACACTAACAAATGAATTAAAGTCCTAGGCACCTTGCAAAGAGTTTCAGTAACAAGTGCCAGTAACAACAATAGTTCATTTAGATGGAACCATTAGTCTGCAGCAAGGTAATATATATTCCTGGGATCTATCATCAGTACATCAGCAGTCATGTAGACAAATACTGATAGCCTTTACCAGCAATATTACACAACTCCTTTTAATCGTGCATGGGATGCCCATGTCACTGGCTGGCTAGCTTTAGGTGTTCATCCCCAGATGCCCTCAAGAAGGTGATGAGCTGCCTTGTTGAACCATCTGGTAGGTAGACCCACAATGTTGTTATTGGGAGGGAATTCCAGGATCTGAATCAAGGACACTGAAGAAACAGTAATATATTTCTAAGTCAGTACAGTGAGTGGCTTAGAGGGAAACTTGCAGGTGGTGGTGTTCCCGTGTAGCAGCTGCCCTTGTCCTTCCAGATGGAAGTGGTTGTGTGTTTGGAAGGTGCTGTTTGCAGAGCCATGGTGAACCAATGCAGTGCATCCTGTAGATCAAACCAAACACATGTGCAACTGCTCCAATTCTGCGCACCCTGATTGGTGTGCCAGTGCCATTCGCAACATTGATTTCTAGTTCCGTTAGTCACTGCCATGAACAGACCTCAGAGGTTTGTGTGGAAGAAAAACTAATTAGCAGCAACACTGGATGGTACAGTGTTGCCGCTGAGCATCAATGGTGGAGGGACTGAATACTTGCGGGTGGGGAGCCAATCAAGAGGGCTGCTTTGTCCTGGATGGTGTCAAGTTTCTCGAGTGTTGTCAGAGCTGCCCCCACCCAGGCAAGTCAGGAATACTCCATCACACTCCTGACCTATGCCTTGTAGATGATAGACAGGATTTGGGGAGTCAGAAGAGGATGAGTTACTCAAATTGATCTTGATACCCCATTACCAACAATGTTACAGAATTGAAACTGACACTATAGCACCGATACTGATATTCCATTACCCAGTGTTACAGCATTTATACTAAAACCAGCAGTATTATAGCACTTATCTATGTAACTGTGAACATCATACATAAGGCTAGTGTTTTTCCAGTCAGTCAGTAACCAAGCATCCTGGGTCATACCTGGAGTTGCAAATCCCGGCTTCTCATCACTGCCATATTCTTCTCTTCACTGAGCTGTGCATACCTCATGGCTAAGTTGTAATTGTCATCTTTGACTTTCATAAGCTCATCATTGTAGTTGTTCCTCTCCTCCTTCATTTTGTTGTAACGTTCCTGGAAGGTATGTAGTTCTTGATTCACTAGCTTCAGCTGTTTCTTCTCATCCTCAAGCTGCTTCATTTTCACCTGCAGATCACACCGTAGCATCTCCTTGGCTTTTGTCTGTTGTTGCAGCTTTATGACCTCATTCATCAGAAACTGTGTCAGACCCTCATGTCCTTCTTCCACTGCAACACAGAACACGCTTGTCAATACCAGAGGGCAACAGAGAGCTAGGTCAAAAGGATTTCACGCCCTGACTACATTCTCCAAGTTTAACAACAACAACTTGCATTTATTTAGCACCTTGCCAGATGTTATCAGTTAGAAATTTGACACTGATCGAGATGAGGGGGTATTAGAACAGGTGAGAAAGAGGGAGGTAGATTTTAGGGAGCACCTTAAAAGGTGAGGTAGAACGGTTTAGGGAGGGAATTCCAGTTAACGGGGCCCAGGCAGTCAGAAGGTTAGGTTGCCAATATTGAGACAATAAAAATCAAGGACTAACTCAAACCGAGTCCAAATAAATTTTAATTTAAGAATCAAGTACAGCTCAAAGTAATTTAGGAAACACTCCATAACTGGTCCCAATAATAGCCTTAGTTTAAAAGTATTTACCTTATTGCAGAATACAGGAACCATTCTTTAATTTTGCATCTATATATAATGTCTGCTTGATGTTTGGAAAGTTTGGATGAATAAGTGAATAGTTTCCCCAATTGCAGAGCAATTGGACCACCTCACTCCACTAACTACTTGCTATTAACAGGAACTCAAGAGTAAATAAGCCCAGAGATTTCAGTTAGTCACATTATTTCAATTGTGCAGTTCTATACCTCAATTCAAACCCTTTGCATAGCCTGTAACTTTATAATAGTTACCCACAATTCATTGCAATAGAACATTACCTTAAAGATAAGACTTTCTGAGAAATATAAATCAGAGTAGTCCTTTACCTACAATGGTGGAGAATCTTCGTGTGGGCTCCTTCCCTGTGACCAGCTTGTACAGTTCTGGATAATAGAACTCAAGACTTTCCAAAAAAACAACATACCCTCTCTGTCCCTTTGTTTGGAGGATATCCAGAAGACGACCTTTGAAAAGAGCAAACAAAGTGAGATTCCATTTCAACCATTTTCTCTCACACTGCAACTTACCCTTCGGTAGAGGTACACACGAGGAATCAGGATCTCCCTGGAAGCTCAACTGGGATGTTCTAATATGAGGTACGGGTGAACAAGGGTGGACTAATTCCCTTTTCCTTGATATAACATCAACATCACGTCTGCATCACATGCCTTTGGGCTTGGTTGGTTTATCTGGTGGGTTTGCTCCACATGACTGTCTTCCCACCTCCATCTTTATCTACTCCTACCAGCACATCTTCATACCATGATCTAGCTTCCCCTTAAATCTCCTGATGGTTCCATTACTCCTTTGTGATGGTGAATTCCATATTTACTACTTTGGCGATAAAGAAGTAGCAAAGCAGACAATCATCTGTAATATTGATGGATTGCCATTTCTCTGACATTTACAAACGGGAGGCAGCCGCACTGAATTGTGGAAGGCAGATTTGCAGTTGCTGAAATCAGTGGTAACGCAGGCTGCCAGCACTCAAATGTTGCTTTGATAGAAATGAATTCTTTAATTCAACGCACATTTATGAATCCATATTTTCCTGGATTTTCATACCCGTTGTCCCAGAGTTTAGGAGTCTTTCCACTATGGGGCAGGATTGTCCTATAGGTTTCTGATATGTCAGGTTCAAACACACGTCAGAAATCTGCACCCAATGGGAAAGAGTTGTCGACATGATTTTCGCCCAGGTAGCTCTCCATCTGTTTAAGAACAGCACTGTGGCTCTCAAAACCTCTGCAGCCGGTCACTATTCTTAAGGAAACCTTTCCATAGAGCACACAATGGCTGTCGTAGAACCTCGCCAAGTAGGCAGGGATTGGGATGGTGGGGGTTGGTCCACTAAGTCTGCTGAAAGCCATAGAAAGAAGGAAAGCATACTGTAAAGGCCTTCTGCTATGTGCAGCAATCTCTTAACTTGAGAGGAAGCCATGAGACAGAGGTTTGTTAGGAAAATGAGATACAACACATGTAGCAAAGAATGTAATTAACTGTCAAGCAAGACAGATACTGTAAGGATCCTTCAGCAGAACCTCCTGAAATCAGAAACTCTGTAATGCAGAAAAGCCAGGACAGGTGGTATATGGGAACACCATCAATTCCCAACTCCTCTCTAATTCACACCAGGAACTTGGTTTGGAATCATCACCATACCTTCATCGTCACAGCACTTCCATACCTCACGGTACTCTCAGAGCACATTGATCATGTGGACTAGAATCAGAATTATAAAATCCCCTACAAAGCTGAAAGAGGCCAGTTGGACCTGCTGCACTGACCCTATAAAGAGGATCCCACCCAGACCCAGCCCCCGACGCTATCCCTGGAACTCTGCATTTCCCATGGCTAATCCACCCAGTTTGCACATCCCTGGACCCCACAGGACAATATAGTATGGCCAATTCACCTAACTTGCACATCTTTGGACTGTGGGAGGAAACCCACACAGACACAGAGAGAACGTGCAAACTCCACACAGATAGTCACCCAAAGGTGGAATCGAATCTGGGTCCCTGGTGCTGTAAGGCAGCAGCGCATACCACTGAGCCACTGTGGTGCCCAATGGTTCGAGGAATGGTTCAAGGAAGCTCACCATCATTTTCCCAAGGCCAACTGGAGATGAGTGATGTTGGTTTTGTCAGTAAGGCTGCATCCAAAGATTGAAAAACAAAACAAAGCAATTTCTTCTAAAAGAATTTCATTGTCACTATTGCCATTTGATATAAAACTATAGGAACACATTACTTTTGTAAAGGTTGTGACTGCTGTAACTCAATAAGAATTGAAACTCAATTACTTGATCTGTTAATTTTGGACTGCAGCATGTGTGAGTTGAGCACCTCATCCTCATCCTGCTCGTCAATAACTTTGCATTGCCGAAGGTACGGTGTAAGCTTGGCTGGATTGATGTACCGGCTGAGAACGTGCCGGTTACATTCCACATTCTCCCACACCACATCTTCTTCATCCTTCAAGCTGCAGAAATTCTCTGTCTCTGAACGACAGGCCTCCATCTCTTGACCTATAAAACAAGAAGAGGCGAGTGAAGCGGATTTCAAACTGTTGCTCATCTGCCAGACAGTACATCAATATTGGTCTGTTTTAAACTTTCTCTGTTCAGAGGCCAGGACTATATCTCGATAAGGGAAGCCATTAGAAAACCAAATGATCAGATATTAAGATAGGATTCTCTCAGCCGTTACACTTCTTTTGCTGCATTCTTGATTCCAAGCAGATGTTGTTCTTTCTTTTGAAGGAATAATATTTCACCAGTAAAATGCTAACCAGCCATTTGTATATCAGTTATCATCAGTTTCACAATTTACTAACATTCAATCATTGTCCTCTTGATTTGCATTGATTTTCCCAGTCAAATAGCCTATGTTTATATCTACAGCTTCAGAGCTATAGAAAGTTACAGCACAAAGAGGAGCTATTGTGTCTGTGTCTTTTATTTAGGTACCACTGCCTCCTCAGAGTCCTGTGTTTTCCTTGATGCAATCACTTATTTCCGATGCAGTATTCCACAAAATCTCATAATTAAAAAGAGGTTTCATCGAACTTCCCTCCCCATGCTTGTGGTGACAACTTGATCTTGACATCAACTCATTGCACGTCCTGCCTAATTTTTTTAAACATCCAGATTATGTCCGGAGTTTTGTGAAGTTCCGCACATCCTAGATCCTTGAGTTCAGGAATCAGAGTTGTAGAAACATATAGTACGGGTGGTCATTCCTTTTTAAATGAGAAGTCGGTCTACATTCCTGCTGTTTGTTCGTAACCCTGTAAAGGGTAGGGAATTTAAAGACCTGTCCAATTCCCCTTTAAAAATATTTCAAAAAGCAGCTTCCCCTGCCTTTTCAGGTGGAGCATTCCAGATCCTGACAACACTGACTACAAACAAATCTTTTCAATTTTTTTCCCCCCTTTATTTTCTTAGTTGTGAATACTTTCACATTGACTGGAAATGCTCGGTTGATCATTGATTATTCACAGATTTTTTCCTTCTAATGTGTTATTGCAGAATTAACTTTTAAATTGTAACTACCCAACAGCTTGATAGGCAGAATGCCATTAATTCACATTTTAATGAAGGTTTGCGCCAGTCAACTGACGAAGTTAAATTAACACTGGCTTGATTTTCATTGGCTAATAATGTTGACAAGGATACCAAGAGTTCCCAACTGTTTTCTGAAAAAAAAAAATCTACCAATTTTTGTTTTCAGTTATCTGAGCAAATAAATAGAACTTTCATCAGACTATAGCACCAGAACAGTAGAATGTAGTATCCCCTCAATATAGCACTGAAATGTCAAGCCAAGGTTGTGCATTCAAATTTTTGAGGGGAGTCTTCAAAATTTGTCGGGTGTCTTGTACACTGCCTGAAAATGCATCGAAGAGTGTTCTGACTTTTAAACATAGACTCCTCCAGATCTTTCACCCATCAGGCATTTCCAATGTCAAGGATTGGCCTTCGCTCAGAATTAGGAGCCCAAGTCCTTTCTAGTCGCAAATTAGAACCTGGTAGCTCCTGTGCTCAGCTGGGCCACTGAGAAGGCCATGGACACTGCTGGGAATTCAACCAAGTCCAGCCCAAAGGTAGGCGACTTTCAGCAGGGCAAAATTATTTCTGGGGTAAAAGGTCACAGGGAGAAGGCACCAGGGGATCAGAAGCAAGGGCAGGTACTGCCTCTCATTGGACTTGCCCTCCCCCGAGGTATTTGATCTCAGACACCAAAGACTGCTGGTTGAGCACTTCCTTCCCCAACAAATCCAAAAACAGCCACACTTTGTCAATCCAGGAGGGCTGCTCATTGGCAGATCATCTCACAGCTGGTTATTCCCAGCAACAGCTTGGAAATCCATATCTGTGTGTTCAGGTGACTGAAAAAAAAATCATAGATTTTTGTTTTTAAAAACTCAGTAGGGCATCTCTTGGTATCCTCATCAATATTATTACGCTATTAATTGGACATTTAAGTGACTTCAATCAATGCCTGTATAGGAAGGTCAGCTACGTATCTTCCTGCCGAGAACTTACTTCAGGAGGCAGTGGAAAGGTGTCAGGGATGGGGTACACACTACTCTCTCTAATGGAATACCTTTCTCACCTCCTCCCTCACTCCCTCTGGGACTGGAGGATTCTGCCCTCAGAGTAACCGTAATGCTATCACAGGGGCACAAACCCATGACTTCTCTGACCAGGTGGGCCAAGCTAACAGTGAATAATTGGACCATTTCATTTCCAGAGCAAAAACTCTATCATTCTGTTCATTTCTTTCTCTTTTAATGACAAAGAATCAGATAACCAAGTATAGCTTCCACTAATGTAGCTTACTGCTCAGTAATTACTACTGGAGCATGGCCTGAGGGCACATTATGAAAACAACTATACTACAGGGATTTGATTAGGTTCAGGGCATCTTGGAATGTACCTGGCCTCTTTGTGAAATCGGTGATTGAGACTTATTCTGGGAAACAAACTTATTTCGCTCTGCATTGTGGTGGTGGATATCACTCTTATTGGGCAGTATACCAACATGGTGTCAATATGAAGGGAATGAGTTATTGATGTCCAATGTAAAATCAGAAAGCAATGTATAGGTAGAAATATTGAAATCAAAATTATGCAATCTCAAATTCCACGTTCTGTACCAGTGTTGCAGATTTATTTGCATTCTCTAGGTTGGACTATTTCAATGTTCTACATTCCACACTCAAACTTCAGCTTATCCAATACAGTTTGTCCAAATGTCCACCAATTTGGGAGCAGAAAGCTCATAACAGTAAAACTGACAGGCTGTTATAAAAACTCCACTGGTTCACCAGTTGCCCTTTATAGAAGGAAACCTAACATCCTGATCCAGTCTGATCTCTGCAGCAGTCCAGCGTGATTGGCCTGTTCACCCACCACTCATGTGCACACTGACCTACACCGATTCCTCATTTGTCAATACCTTAAAATTTAAAATTCTTATCTTTGTGTTCAAATCCCTTGGCGGTCCCATCCTATCTCTGCAACTCCAGCCCTTGAAGCCAGAGATCTCCACTTCATTCCTCCCCAACCTTCTTGCCTACCATTAGCTTTAGTTCTTTATCCCGAAGCTGTAAAATTTCCCTCTGCCTTTACTGCTCTCTCTTCCTTTATAGAGGCTCCTTCAGATTTACCTCCAACAAACTTCTCAGCACCTGTCCAAATATTAGAATTAGGTTTATTGTCATTTGTACTCAAGTTACAAAAGAAAAGCAGGGCAGTGAAATGTGTACAATGTCGCAACACACAGCACCATCTTTGGTCCAAAAAGAAAAAAAAGTTACAGTACATATATCTGTAATGCGATGCAAGTCAGGAAAATAAGAAATAAAAGCTAAAAGGATAGACATTACAGTCTTTCTATAAAGGGCTTCCACGTCGTCTGACCAGGCTCCAACAGTTCCCAACCAGTAACCATCTTTGCTCAGGGCCGCTGACAGAAGAGAAAAAAAGATGGAAGAGAAGAGAAAAAAAAAAGAAGAGAAAAGAAGAAAGGAACAGACGAAGCCCACAAGCTCCACCTGAAGTGTCCTACTCCGCCGCCATCTTGGATCAATAATAGATCTAATTGCATCTAGAATATCGCCTTCTTTTAGGAACTGTGAAAGACTTGATGCTTTAAAGACACTATATAACGTGAAAATAGTTGCTGTTTGCACTTTAATACAGAAATACATGTTCTGTTTCTAGGTAAAGGAATAAACAAAAGAATCTGGTTGTTGTTACATTTGGGCCTCAGTGAGAGATGTATGAATCACAGAAAGCACAGGAAGCAGGGTGGTCCAGGATGAAATAACAAATACTGGGTAAGTTTCAGACTTTTAAACTGATGCTGTGGCGTAAAGGGGAGGGTTAAGCTTTAAAGGACAGAAGGGTCCAGACCCGAAACGTCAGCTTTCCTGCTCGGCCTGCTGTGTTCATCCAGCTCTACACCTTGTTATCACAGTACTTACTGCTGTCTCTGTACATAAGCTGTGCATGTCCAACTTAGTTTACTTCTGTAAATAGTTAATTCATTTTAAATCTGGATCTCAGCTCAACTGCTAATGTTGATTATATTGGTTTCAGCAGAAATAAACAGCAGTGAATAAAAGTAATCCAGCATCACGTGAGAAGAAACGCTTGCCTTCATAACCTCAGGACATCTCTAAGCTCTTCACAGTTAATGAAGTAATTCCGAAGTGCATTCTCTGTTGTAATAATAGGAAACGCACCAGCCAATTTGGACACACACAGAGCAGTGTGATAATGATCAGTTAATTCCATTTTTGTGAGGTTGTCTGAGGGATAAATATTGGTCAGGACACTGGGGATAACACGCAAGCTCTTTAGTGCTGTTAGATCTTTCGCATTCACTTGCCAGAGTGGATGTGGCTCCTTTTTTTTTCATTTTGCTTACTCTTGCATGGTTTGTGAGCATTGCTGGCATTGTTCAGTCCACTAGAACAGAGTGGCTTGCTAGGCCAATTCAGAGGATCATCAAGAACCTCACGAGAAGAACAAGAAGACTACTGTAATAAGAATTTTTTTTTATATTGAAACGTTATCCCAATACTGAAAACCATTGTAAGCAATTCTGTCACAATGCCGGCAATCAAACAAACAATTTCTGCATTATCTTCATCTCTGGAGCCACAGGACCAAATGTTATCTGTAAAATGCAAATAAACAGGAGCTAATTGATATTGACTGAAATCCCAGACTAATAATCTGAAACTAAGTCCAGAATCTTCAGTCGTCAGGATGCAAGTCCACAAGAGTAATTCTTTATTAGAAGGTCACTGAATAGCACAGAAGAAAATCTATCCCGGCCTTCTCTCAGTTCCCAAGTGCCGGACGGCTCGTCAAACATCAAAACTTGGACTTAAACAACAGCTATTTTCTTCACATGAGATGGTAACTGGGGGAAGAATGCTTTTGTGGAGCATAAACACCAGTAGGCTGAATGGTCTCGGCTGCAAACTCCTATGTAATTCCATAAAACCCAG